TGTGTCCCAATCTCATATGTCATAAGCTGGTAGTATCCTCCTCTGTAGTGATAGAAGCTGTCAGACCCCATGTAACTATCTTTTCCTTCAAGTAGTATAGATTATTTTCTCTGACATCTCGCATCACCATCATAGACCCTTTTGTGACCTTCAAAGTAGCATTCTCTAATATCACACGATAGTCTGCTGCCTTCAAAGTCCCAAGAAAATGATGTTCTTCGTCAACTGTGGAACGAACCTCACTTCCTTCAACTCCCTAGTCACCCCGTCATGTTAGCCTTTATGTTTTGATGATAATTTACAACCACCATTATCGGTACTAATTGCTTGTTGAGTAATATTATAGTTAATATGTATATCAAGCTTGTTGGTACCATACATGGAGGATTGGATGGAATATGAGCTACACCGTTAATATCTATGGGAGGTGGAGGCAATGTGATGAAGTAAATGTTAATCAAGAATAACATATACCAGTGAAAGGTTCATCAAATTAAAGCAATATCAAGACTCAAAGAAATGTTATTTTATGTGAGGATATTTGCTAGTTTTTCTTTTCTCTCTAGTGCTAGATTGTAGGTAAGTAGTTGTAGATTTTATTTGAAGCTATTCGGGATATCACACACACTTGCACACTTTCAAAACTTATATTTTGGTACTTTTGTCAAAATGATGTTTTTCGTAAATACGAGGACCTTTTTATAAAATTCCTTTTCAAACAAGTTTGTCAAAATGATTATAAATTATTCCCAAAGTTTCATATTTTTTTAGAATTTATCTGATATTTTTAAACATGTTTTTAAGTTCTGTTTTCCTGTGCAAATCTTGTATGTGCATGTTCAGTCGACTCATAAGTCGACTCATAAGTCGACTCACGAAGTGCAGCCTAGTTGTGATTTTTCTTCTGCTGATTCGACTCATATAAGCCGACTCATTAGTCGACTCATAAGTCGACTCATGAGTCGACTTATCAGAGAGTCGTTGCACAGTAACGCCTAGTTTCAGAAAATCGGATTTTGGGGGATTTTGATGATTTCTTTGGGGTTTTGGCTGCTGTTATTTTTCATCGGATTTTGGGGGATTTTGATGATTTCTTTGGGGTTTTGGCTGCTGTTATTTTTCACTATAAATACCTAACTACCCCATTTATTTTTTCTAACCAACTTTACAAGAGAAAAATCAATTGTGTTTAATTCTTGAGTTCAAGAGCCTTAAACTTTCAAAATCCAATTCCTTGTTTTATACTTGCACATCTCACATCCAAAGCTTCAAGTGCAATCTCTCTCATTGTCATAGGGCTGTTGTAAGAGAGAGCAATTCTTTATTTGCTACCATTGATTGTGTGGTGATCTCGTGGAGATCAACTGTGTCATGAGATCTTGTGAAGATCAACTGTGTCGTGAGATATCGTGGAGATCGCTGTGTAGAAGAAGTTCTGGCTTCCAAACCGGATTGTGTAGTAGATTCTCCTCGAGAGTGGGGAGCGGGGACGTAGGCTAGAGAGACGAACCTCGTGAACACATCGCACGTCATTTGGATAACGATTTCTATCTTATCTCCTTTATTTTAGCATTATATTTTGTGGTGTTTGCTTATCTTAATTTTTATTACACAATTATTATCTTAAGACCCTAATCACCCCCCTCCCCCTCTAGGATCTAACACGTCACACATCCTGATCCGGATTGTACCAATATCACCAATAAGGCATACGTGATCATTACCCATAAGCACGACATCCCCTCTTTCCAACTTCTCAAAGCTGAAGAACCAATCCCTCCTAGGGCAAATGAGATATGTAGCTCCCGAATCTAACATCCACTCCGTAGAGTCGGCATAGCAAATTGACGATAGTGCAGAGCAAGAGTAACTCGAAGAATCTGAATATGAATTGTCACCAACAGCCTTGGTAACATTCACCTCTGGAGCTTGTACAACTTTTCCCTTATTCTTCCCAGCTTTATCCTTCAACTTTGGCCATTCGTTCTTCCAATGTCCCTCTTCTTTACAGAAAACACATTGATTTCTACTAACACTCTTATGGTCACCTCTATTCTTTGATTTTGAACGATTGAATTGGCGGCGGTTTGGACTACAGACTCGAACTGCTAATTCATCTCTTGATGCCTTCTCGAAGAATTCACCATCACTCTTCCTCAACTCATAATTCACCAATGCTAAGGTCACCTTTTTGTAGCTAATAGTAGTTCTTCCATTGATTATAGTGAGAACAAAGGTACTATAATCATCCTCCAGCAACAAACACAATAGCAACATCGCATTGTCTTCATCCTCAACCATGATGTCCACATTGGCCATATCCGAAAGCAACTTCGTGAAGTTATTGACATGCTCTCTAATGAAAACTCCCCTCTTCATCTTGAATTGATAAAATCTCTTCTTCAAGTGAAGCTGGTTCCCAATACTCTTTGTAAGATACTTCTCATTAAGTGTTTTCCACAATCTCTTCGCCGATATCTCGTTTATCACATCATAAATCAAATCCGGCGTCAAGCATGACTGAATAACCTCACATGCTCTACTGTTCAACTTCTTCTAAATCTTGTCCTCCATGTCTTCAGGTTTCTCTTGTAATTCAAGAGCCTCCTCCAAATTTTGGGCATCCAACGCATCAATCACCTGACATCTCCACAAACCGAAATTAATCTTGCCATCGAACTTCAAATATCAATCTTTGTGTTATTGATGCTCAGACTCTGTATCGCCTTCGAAATGGAAAATCTTGATGTGCTTGCTTCACCCATATTGATGATCTAACTCTTCAAATAAGAATCCTTCAGAGAATCCTCCAAACGAGCCCCAAGCCAAACCCGAAGCTCTGATACCACTTGTTGTGCGTAGCGAAACTCGAAACACATGAAAGAGCACGAACAAGAACGATATAGATCACAACTAATAAGTATAACACAATCACCATAGCAAGACAAATAAATTTTATGTAATTCGGTAAGTTGTCTACGTCCACGAGGCAAGGAGGGGGGGGTTTTACTATTAGAGATAAAGAGAATACAAATAGGGTTTATAATCTCAACAAAAACAACACTCAAACAAAGCTCTCAAAATCTCTCACCATTTCTCTCTTAAAGGATGCACAAAACTCTCTCAAAAGCTGCTCAAAATCTTGTCCCAGTTAACCCTAATAATCATGTTTAGGGCTATATATCAACACAAAAACAAAACGGGTCAGAAAACATAATCCAGGCTCAGACCCGAGTCGCGGTCGACCGCACTTGACGCTGCAGTCGACCGGACAGAATGACAGAAACTTAAAAAATTAATTACAGGGTCCGTGGTTGACCGCACTTGACGCCGCGGTCGACCGGCCAGAAATTTGAAAATACACCATGTAGTGTGCACGTTTCCTATCGACCGCCACTTGTCTCGCGGTCGACCGAACATCACCCAGACCGTTTTCTGTTTTGTTTTTCCTGAACTTCATCGTTGTTTTCGCCGTTTCTACACAGAGATATTACATACTCAATATAGACAATTTTCCTTATTTTTACATAATTTTCTACTGTCAATACCATTAGAATCAACACGAGACACCACTCGATAGGATAATCTTGGGAATAGCACGCTCAATAAATTTATAAGTTACGTGGAGTCCCCCCACTAAGGGGGTGTTTGGTTCAATAGTGGACAATAATAGGATTAGGAATCCGATTTTTTTTATGGATTCATATCAAATCCATAAAAAAAATTAAGACAAGTTTATGGATTCATGGAATCTTTTTTTTTCTTTTTCTATGTTTGTTTCATAACATGAAAAAAATTGAATTCAACTTTATAGAAACTCTCAAATTCTTATTCTTTAGTTTGGTTTGGAATGAGAATAAGATTTGATCTCATAATAATATATGGTTTGTGAAGAAATGAAATCCGAAAAAAAGAGGGAGAATAGTACGGATGTGTCAGCTTTTTTCCCCCAAATTCTCCCAATCATTAGGATTTGAGTTTCTATAAAATCATCATACTTTTTTAACTTTATAGATTTCAAAATCTATAAATTTGTTGTGAACTAAACTCATGAATAAGATTCATAAAGAATTCTTTATTTACGATTTCGCCTCTGTCAGATTCAATTCCTATTCCTATTCCATAAAAAGGGTGAAACAAACACCCCCTAAGAGGAACTCCTGGCTGCACTCGCTACATTGGATAGGGGTTTTGTTGCAAACATCCCAAAGTTTTGGAGGTTTTGTGAAAATTCCAAGGTGACAGGAGCTCTGTGAAATTAATTTTTACCCCCATATTCACCACCAAAACTTGCGCAGTGGGGTAACGCATTATATCAAATATCAAATCACTTGCCTTGTTCGTGTAGGAAATATGCTGTGTAGGAGACAAAAGTAAAAGAAGAAAAATGCCTTGACAAGACCAAGCCCTCTGCTTTCTTTTTCTTTATTGGGCGTGGCCTTGTCCCCCAAAAGACAAAAAGAAATAAAAAATGCCCACTTTCAACGAAAAAAGTCACAAAGGGCACTCCCAAGTTGTTTGACAAATTGCATGCTGTTACCCTAATTATATACATTATGATTAGTTTCCAATGGTTAAAATTATAATTCCCGATTCTCGTCATAACTTCAGAGTTTTTATCTCATCATAACTTCAGAGTTTTTATGTAATGATTAGAGAAGCTAAATTTAAAATGTTATTAGAACAATCCAGGTTCAAATCCCATCAGTCACAAATTTTAAACGAATTTCTAAAAATTAACACCGCTGCTTGAATCCAGGTTTTAACCCATAAAAAAGGGCGTTCAACCTGCGATGACATGTTAAAATTAATATAAAACTATAATTCTCGACTCTCACCATAACTTCGGAGTTCTTGTGCCATGGTTAGAGGAGTTAAATTTAAGACCAATATAATTGAAACCACAGACAATAAAATCACAACACTCAACTACTCTCTTTCTCTGGAGGCATGCATGAGAAATCAATCAAAAACCTAACGAAGTACTCTAATCATCATCATAACCATAAGTTACAAGCTCCCCTTGTTAATCAAAAAAAAAAAAAAATTGGAAGAGAACAAACAACAAAAAGCAGCAGATGATATCTACATACGCATAACTTACATCGTAAGGAACAAAAATGTTCAACTCAACAGGCTCAAGTTAGTGGGTTTTTTTTTTTTTTAAATTATCGACCTCTCTTTTCCTCTTTCTCAATACCTCACTAATAAAAATGGTTATTACAAGCTCCAATATTGTGGTGATTAATATTTAGCTAGCTATAATCAGGGCATGAAGAGCTTATTCCCGCATTTGCACCTCCAAGCCTCGGGGTAGTATTCGAGTGGCGTGATGAGGCTCGGCTGGATCGCCACGCGCACGGGCCTGCAGGGGAAGCACGTGCCGCACCGCGCACGGCACGTGGGAGGGGAGGAGCCGGGCCCCACGAGCAGTCTCCTTTGGGTCACAACAAACCGGTGCCAGTAATATTTCTCCTCCTCGTTCTTCAGGCCCTCCTCCCTACTCGCTTGTTGAACTTCTAACAACTCCCTACCTAAAACAGCACGAAAATTAAGGAAAATATCGGTACTCGTCTCGAGAAAAATGTTTTGTTACAAAATGTAGCCTTGGGTGATCTTGAAAAATATTCAAGGGGAAAAAAAGAAATTGTTCCATTCTAAATTATTAGCGTGCATGAAAACTAGCCCTAAACTAACAATGAAGTGGATTTGTGACGAGAGATTCATATGGTCCAAAAATGAGAGTACACGAACAAAAAAAAAAGGAAGAAGAACCGTAGCATTTAATCATGACAATGAATATGAAAACATGGAAATTGATTGTTAATTAGCAACAAATAAAAATACCCAGAGTAGGGTTTTTTTTTTCTAGTGCATTGTGACCATATTACTCTTTAGGTAAAGAAAGAGGGGCTTTAAAGTGAAAAAAAAAAGGTCACTAATTAAAATTAGGGGTTAAGAAGAAAGAATGTAGAAAGGGACTATTGAAAAACTAACAAATAGAGAAGGGTTTTAGCGTTTACATACCAAGATTATATAGTGTGAATAGATCGAGAAGGGTTTTAGTGTTTACATACCAAGAGCTGTTGCAAAGAAGAGGAGAGCAAATGCCGCTGAGATGCGAAGAACAACCATGGCCAAGCCCAAGCTCAAGCTCAGTCTAGAGAAAGAGAGGATGAGAGAGAGAGAGAGAGCACAAAGGAGGAGTAATATTATGGCAATGCGTGTGGGTCAAGTTAGAGAGAGAGAGAGAGAGAGAGAGAGAGAGGTTTTTTTTTCTAAGTTAGGAGGAGACCAGAAGATGATAGATCAAGGGAACACGAGGGGCTTTGAAGATTGGACAGTATAATACTAAATACCCTCTCTATGTGAGGAGTGTTACTGTTTTCTGCAGTCTACAAATAATGGTTACCTTTTTCTGGGTACCATCTGTTAAATAATTTTTAACCATTTTCACTGATTTTTTTTTTCCTTTTCTTCCTTTACACATTAGCTCTTAATTTCTTAAAGTTTGGGAGATGGGACTCGATCCAGGGCACATTCCCCACATTAATTTTCATTTTTCGGATAAACAGTGAAAAGGGCAGGGTTCGGCTAAGTTCAAGGACGACCACTTGTACTGTAGGAAACATTATCTCAAGACATGCATAACCCTACAATGAGTTTAATATGATTTAGGAAATTACAAGCTTTGAAGACGTAGAAGTGGGAGGATATAATGAGGAAGAAAAGATTTTCTGAGTTCGAACTTTTGTTTCTTTCTAGAGTGTGAAGAGGAGGCTTGGCCCCATTATCTTAGGGTGGGCTAATTAGCAAACTCTTTAAATAGGGGTTAGGTTTTAGTAGGGGTGGCAAATTAATTATGGCTCAAAATCGATTACAATTTGAATTTCCTGATTACAAAAGAGAGGAGAATGAATTTGATTCTCCCCTTTGTTTAATTCTGGGTTCTTCACGGTGGCGATGGAGTGCCTCCCTCGAATGCTTGCGTCGAGTTTGCTCTCTGTTGACGATCCGCACGTCTTGATTCACTGGAACGATGTCTTCTCCTCACGATTTGACGTTGTGGAGAACTTGCGTGGCAAGTTTTAGAACTCTGAATGAGTTGATAACTCTGCACGAGTTGGAAACTCTTAAAAAAGAGTTAAATTGAACCGAGAATCGGTTTTCAAGCCAAGGCCGAAGGCTCTCAGAACTGATCCTAAAAGATGAATGTCGATCTCTTCTGCTGCCAAGTCCCAGATCCGAAAAAATGTCAGCCTTCACTGGTCTATCTGAGCCAAGAAATTCTGCCCTCGCTGCCAAGTCTCAGATCCGAAAAATGCCAGCCTTCAGTGGTCGATCTGAGCCAAGAAATTCTCCCCTGAACTCAGTTGAGTTTACTCGCTTTTATAGGGGATTAAGGGGGTGTAACTGCCCTCTAAATCCGCTCCTAAGTGGGCGTGATTTCCTCAGATCGTGGGAAAAACGGTTCTGAAACCGTTCGACTCATATTTGAATGAGTCAAACGCCCAACCTGGCGTTCAGGACCCTAACCTCGCGTCTTAGGATTGAGACGCGAGGTTGGGTGTTGACTGAACATCCAGAACACGAAGGTCGCTCACGTTTCGCTTGTTGTAACACGGGTCCGACTCCAGCGTTTTGATGTTGTAACGCGGGTTTGACTTCAGCGTTTTGATGTTGTAACGCGGGTTTGACCCTGGCACTTTGATGTTGTAACGTGGGTTCGACCCTCGCGTTTTGATGTTGTAACGCGGGTTCGACCCCAGCGTTTTGATGTTGACACACGGGGAGGACCTCCGCGTCTTGTCTTGAAGAGATTATCACAAAGTAATCTCTTTTGTCATAGCGTTGCAAAGATCATTGTCTTATAATCTTTGTCTTGGTCCTTGAGAATATGAGAGTCGTCAGATTGTAACTCCCGATGTTGATTGTGAATGCTGTTGAACTAGAGCTCTCATCGGTTGTCGTGAAGGTCGTCAGATTGTAACCTTCAGCGATCTACGTGAAAGTCTTTAAATTGTAACCTTCTGGAAGTCGTCAGATTATAGCTTTCATCATCGGTGCTTGATGAAGGATAAGCTATCTATTGTGATTTTTAGACAGCCTACACCCGACCCAACCCATTTATAGTGGGTATGGGTCGAGTTATATGGGTCGGGTCATAAACGGGTTAACCCAAAATGACTCGTTTATTAGATGGGTAAATTACGATTGACCTGAACTGACCCGTGTAACCCAATACAGACCTGTTTAATTCTAAATGGGTTGCAGACTCCAAATATGAAATCATCTTCGTCGTCTTCATCCTCCTCCTTCTCCTCTCTCTCTCTTATTCCTTCGACCCCTAGTTTCCCACCAGGTCCAGCGTCTCCGACGATTCTTCCTCTAATTGTAAAAAAACATTTATCCATTTTTGTAATCGAGAACGAAATTAGCTAGGGTTCCGATGAAGTTTGGGAAGAGTCTGTGCAATCAGATAGATGAAACCCTACCCGAGTGGAGAGACAAGTTCCTCTCCTACAAAGACCTCAAGAAGAAGCTCAAGCTCATCGCCGCCGGCGGTGATCGACCGGCGAAGCGCGCCAAGACCTCTGTCGGTGGCTACGAGATGACGAGGGAGGAGGAGTTTCTGGGGTCACTTGAGGACGAGCTTGAGAAGGAGGAGAAATACGTCATTCGGCAAAAGGTGGAATTTTTAGGGGTTTTTTGAGATATTTTCACCAAATCTCTTTGTTTCGAAAGAAGTCCGCAAAGATTAATATCATGTAAAGATTTTATGTATTTGTTATGCTCTATCAAAGGTTCAGAATGAACCATTGAATTTTGCACGTTAAAATTGATGAGATTGGGCAATGATATCTCAAAAACCCAAATTTTTATGTGCCAAAGTTGTTACGTTTGTGCTTCCATTGGGTTTCTGTGGATTTGAGCTGACATGGTGGGCTGTGATTTGGTTGCAGGAGTTGCAGGATCTGGTGGTGATGGCGATGGTGAGAGAATCTAAGGAGGAGCTGATGAAGGTGAGAAAGGGGAGGAAGTGGAGTTTTCAGTATAATATTATGTTTTTTTTCACAGGATCAGTGTGTGTGATAGGATTCTTTAGGTCTTTTCTCTTTAGTCAGTTAATTTGTATAAATTGGCCAAACTGCACATTGCCCCCTTTGATATTGGCGGGATCATTTCATCTTGATTTGTACAGTATCCATGACATTGAAATGAGATATGATAAACGGATCATTCGAGTTATATGGGTTGGGTCGGATAACCTGTTTGATAAATGGGTCGGATCGCATTGACTCATTTGTTAAACGGGTCGGGTCGGGTCACATTTAAACGGGTTGGATCAACTATGACCCGACCCGACCCATTTGCCACCCCTAGGTTTTAGTTAGGGACCACTCCATCTTGGTCTGTAACTAAACTAGTTTTGTAGACAAAAATTGAACTAAAATACAATTTTCAACAAATAAAAAGCTCTCCTTAACTAGATTAAGGCACTGTTTGGCAACTAAAAAAAATGTCTTATCTAAGAGCTTGTGTCTTATTGACTTGGTCAATAAGCTAGTAGAGCTGTTTGGTGACCAAAAATAGGAGGAGATTATTTTGGAGATTGTGTTTTTTGCAAGTAGCTTTTGGAAAGCTATCTCAAGTAGCGTTTGTCTTTGGGAATGAGCTGTTAATTTTTTTCTTCTGTTTTTATCCCTAATAATTCTAATTTTATATCAATAATAGTGCATGACCTTTTTAGTCATTTAACAAATTTAAGATAGTTGTACAGCTTCTTTTGTCAAACAGCTCTAGTCAATCAGCTAGCTACACAGCTATCAGCTTTCAGCTACAATTTCACAGCTTTCAGCTAGCTTGACAGCTTTCAGCTATAATCTCGCAGCTTTCAGCTAGTTTTGCCAAACAGAGCCTAGAGCTGTTTGGCAAAAGTAGTTGTACAACTAGCTTAAATTTGTTAAATAACTAAAAAGACATGCAATATTATTGATATAAAATTAGAATTATTAGGGGCAAAAATGGAAGAAAAAAATTGGCAGCTCATTCCCAAAGACAAACGCTACTTGAAGTAGCTTTCCAAAAGTTACTTGTAAAAGACACAATCTCTAAAATAATCTCCTCCTATTTTTGGTTACTAAACAACTCTACTAGCTTATTGACCAAGTCAATAAGACACAAGCTCTTAGATAAGACACTTTTTTTGGTTGCCAAACAGTGCCTAAATGTAGCTCATTTTTTAAGAGTTATCGAATACCCCATTACCCTTCAACATCCTTGTTACATGTGAATTATTGATTTTTCATCTACCTACTTAATTGAAATTGTCCTATTCATCCGAAAGTCCAGTGTTATATTAATTTGGTTATGCGGCGCTAATCCTACAGATTGATTGAGGAAACACCAAACATATTCATTTTATTTTGCCAAAAAGTGCCCAGTTGTTCTAGTATATTGCATTAATGCGCACCAAGACTATATCAACAGTTGGATTAGCATAATAAAAATATGTATATTGATCTAACGGTTGACATTCCTTTGATGTACTACTAAAGTAATAGAACAGAATTATTGGATAATTACTTTTACTTTTCCACATCCATCTTCCGTTAATGTCAATCTTCACTGTGATCAACCTAGCTATGGGGTTCTCTGTCTCATCAAAGGAAACTCTATATTTTGATGATCGTGATTTTTTTTAATGGGTGCTTATGGGCACTTATTAGGAAATGAGTGAGAAATTATATATTTTATTTTTAATGATTACACTTTTTCTTACGGGTGTTCATGGGCACTTGTTAGGAGATGAGAGAGAAAGAGGGATCTTCCCGATTTGCACTAATTTCTCTCCATACCTCTCTTAGCAAGTGTATCCTCCTTATTTGCACTAATTCCTCTCCTTACATCTCCTCTCTCGCTCTCTCATCCTCTAGTGAGATGAGCACCCGTTAGAAAAACCCTCATGATTAATATATGTATGGGTACTACCGTTGAAGGCTGATTTCCTCAACCTTGGCTTCTAAATTAATAAGCAATTAACAGAATCTAGTTAAGGCCACTGCTTCGTGATACATATGCATTGAGAACACTACATATTGGTGAAAACAACATCTACTTGTCTGTTTGTTTCTTTATAGTTCATCCCTTTAAAGAGCGCTGGTTAGATTTAATAATCATTATGTCAAAAAAAATTAAAGAAATGATATACAATTATATACTGTACCTACCTCTATATGCATATATTAATACTAATGACCATTTTTATTCATTGGTAACTCATTTAAAGGAGGATCACTTGCACATGGGTTAGAGAGAACCATTTCAAGTCAGGACCACTAAGATGAATGGTTAAGCTTTGGCCACATCACTATCAAACATACATTGTAAAAATAAATACTTAACGATCAAACTCATTCTATATCCAGTCAAATGAGGGTTTCATTACTCTCATATATTGATAACTTATTTTGTTAAAAAGAGTTTCCAAAGAAACAACCTTTAAAATAGGATAATTATATAGAAATCACCTTTTAATTTTTATTTATATATAAGCCACTTTTAAAGTGGGTTTTTGTTCCACTTTTAAAGTGGGTTTTGGTTGCAATCAACCACATTTCAGTCAAAATTTTCATTAAAAACTCAAAATTACACTTGAAAACTCACTTTCATGGTACATGACTCATTTTTGGACAAAATGACCATTCCTTCTTAAAGTAGTGGTGAACTACCAAGTTACCCCAAAGTACTAGCTAGTTTTAATTTTTTTGCCCCTTAATCTATGATTGTGGTTTCAATATGGTCATTTCTTAAATTTCCATGCAAATATTTAACTAATCAATTACGTGATAGTGTTTTTTTCAAATTTTTTTGCAATTAAAAAAATAATTTTTAATTCGTAAAAAAGGGTTAAAGGGGGAAAATTTTTAGGCAAAGTAGTTAATAAAATGAGAAAACTGATAAAAATCTATTAAAATATAAAAACATTGTTATGTATTGATCTGTTAAATATTTGACTACAGACTCATGAAATGACCACATCAAAATAAAAAATATAGTTTGAGGGGCATACTAGGTAAATTGATACTTTAGAGAGTAATTTGAGAGTTTGCTAACACTTTAAGGAGGAAATGATCATTTTGTCCATTATTTTTTTTAGTGTTTAGGTCTTATTACTGTATAACTTAAGTACTTTGAACTTGAATTTTTTAAACTTATTTTTTATTTTTAGTACAAATTTGACTGAAAATGTGGTTGACTGTAACAAAAACCCGATTCAAAGGTGTTTGCATATAAATTTAAATTGAAAGGATGCTGATTCTTCATATGAATTATTTGTGATTTTCTTAGAGCTGTTTCTAGGGGTGGGGGGGACTTTATAAATTTGGAATACCCTGTAATATCATGAATCTACACGGATGATCATAGGGTTTATGTATTTACATGAATAATTCTAGGATGAAGAATTTTTAGAAATAGATCAGTTCTAATGTAATATCATGAAACTAACACCTAGAATAAAAAGGGAGTTGCCAAAGTGACCCTTATACCAGCGTTTTCACATATTTTCAACTGGAGACTTTTTTTTTTTAAAAAAAATTCAAAGAAAAATTAATGAGGAAAATAAAGTATAACTTCCACCTGATCCATAAGAAAGGGACGAATGAGAGAATGAATGAAAGTAATAGCAGCCACTCGGAGTTACTCGTACCGATAGTAATAAATACGAGTGAGAGAGAGAGAGAGTTTTTCAGTGAAAACCAGAAGTGCCGTAGCTGTCACCCGTGTGGCCGGATGCACGTGGCTCCGTCACGTGCGGTTGTTATGACGTTTGTGGAAGAAGGGGAGAGTAGCGACAGGAGAAAAAAAAAGTGGGGGTATGCTAGGGAGGGGGGCAGAGCAATGAATGAAGTGGGTCCCACTGCTCCACACCTGGCAGTTCTCCATCTTGTTGGGCCCACTTCGATGTCTTTGACTGAGAACCCGCACGTGAGCCGAGGGGTTGAGACCTTGCACGTTTTGGGCTCCATTTGGGCTGGCTTCCAACTTTGACGAGACCCATCCACTTTGGAGAAAGAAAAAAAAAACACCGATAGCGAATATAGTAGGTAATAGTCAGGGATTTCGGTCATCTCCACTGATCGATGATGATGATGATGATAATAATAATTATTATTATTTTAATTATAACCATCGATTTATATGCTGGACATGCATAATTTATTTTATATTTAGCACTCATTTTATGTCCTCATGAATTTCACTATTTTTTCTTAATTTACACTGAAAATAAAATCATAGACATTCATTAAATAAACTAAATGTTGTTGATAATGTAGTAATCTCTTTACTATTTTTTGATAGTGTAGAAGATGTGAATCTCATAGTTACTATGGGGTAAAATCATATAGAGGTTCTTTTAGGCCTGTCCAAAAAGCCCGTCGACCTAGACCCGCCACTGCTACACTGACTAGCCCGTGTTCTAACCCAACCTAGGCTCGAGTTCTTGCCTGGCAAGCCAGCCACTACCCAGGTCTGGGTCGAGATCTGGACCGAGCCGACCGGGATTTGACCTAGAACAGTCCAAAAAAAAAGGCTAGCCCAAGCTACCCGAACCTTGCTCGACTCCTGGTTGACCACAAGGAACAAAAAACAATTAATTGGGCTAAAAGGAGGGTCGGGTCGGGTCGGGCTACCCGATGTCTGACAGACCCTAGCAGCCTAAAAACGGCTAGTTGTGGTCTTTTAACCAAATACCCCACAAATAAGATCAAATTTTGAGGATACTTTGATCTCTATGGATCTTGCCTTTATAAACGGTTAATTGCTAAAATTGAGAGCAAATTTAATAAGTATTTTAGACTCATTCATGTTTTTTTATGGTTTTGGTATTCTTATTAATCCATGATTGAAGGATGTCAGTCTTTCTAATCTCTTGACTTCTTTATATGGTAGTATACTAATGGATCATAATTATGAAAGTGTTACTACTTTAGTCATTATACAAACAAACATCATTTTTCTAAATTATTTTATGAGTTTAATGCTTCCAGGTCTTAAGCTTCATCTGCTATGAGATCTAACCCACCTAA